ACCCCATAGACCGCAGCCCACCAGGCTCCCCAGTCCCTGGGATTCTCCAGGCAAGAACACTGGAGTGGGTTGCCATTTCCTTCTCCAATGTGCGAAAGTGTAAAGTGAAAGTGAAGTCGCTCAGTCGTGTCTGACTCTTAGCGACCCCATGGACTGCAGCCCACCAGGCTCCTCCATCCATGGGATTTTCCAGGCAAGAGTACTGGAGTGGGGTGCCACTGCCTTCTCCAAAGAATTGTCGAGGGAACAGAAATTCAGACTTTTAAACTGATTTCCTGCCCAGGGCTGCATCTTCAGTTAGTGTTGTTAAATGTCTGTGCTCGCTGCAGAGATAGCTTGTGTATTTAACATGCCTGTGCACTGATACCCTGCAGGGAGTCACCTACGAAGGGAGAATTTTAAATGTACAAAAGTAACGGATGCCGAACATTCTTGCCTCTAGATTTTCTTACAGTTTTAAAATATTGGCCAAACATTTACCTTGTGGGACTGAGTTGGAAATAGCCATAGAGAGAAATTAAATGCCTAAAGCATTTCATTGATTTGTCATGAGTGGGTAAATACATCAAATGAAACCCACCCTCCTCGGGTTTCATTCTATCAAAGAGAATGTGATGGTTCTGGAAGGGCTAAGAGCTGAATGCAGACAACAGAGTGTAAGCACATTCTATTATACTTGGAATAATATTTTTCATCCCCAGAAAACTACTCTTCTTGTTATGCTGGCCGTGTTGCATGTGGCTTTACTTTATTTTTTTTTTCCCCCTTCTTTCTCCAGAGAAAAATTAAGCCCAGTTCAAAACTTATAGCTTCAGCAGAAAAACAGAGAATTATTTTGTTGTCTAAAAATTCACACTTAAAATTATTCATGAACAAAGTCAGCATTCAAAAGAAGAAATAACAACTTCCTTTCAGCTAAAAATAAATGTTTTTTTTTGTTTTCTGGGTGGTTTTTTGGAGGTGAACTTTCAAGGCAATGCTAAGCGTCATGCACTTGAAAAGCCACAAACAGAGACATGACGGCAAGTCCCCCCCCCACATGGACACAAATGAAACACTGATCTCTTGAAATAGATCCCTTGAAATTGATCCCTTTGGTGCTTCCAGTTTAGGAAAGGTCCACAGCTGGTTGCAGTCTATTTGGAGGCTATTTCAAGTTGGCTAACGAAAACTTTTACCCCAGAAGCTACTTCCTATAAATGTGGCCATGGCTGTAGAAATCTCTCTCTCTCTCTCACACACACACACACACACACACACACACATATATACAGAGAACATAAAAACAAGTTTCTTCTTCATGACTGTTTCCAGAAACAGACCTCTTAGGTTACACTTTCTCTGCCTTTCATGGAGACTTAACTGCAGTACAAAGCACTTAAAAATCCACCCGGCAACGTGAGATAATGTAAAAAAAAAGAATAAATATGCTTATATATAAAGTGCATCACTTGCTGTGTACCTAAAACACAACACTGCAAACCCACTGTATTTCAATTTAAGAAAAACTGATACACGGCAGGTACGTGGAAGGTGAAGATGCTTCTGCGAGTGTGAGAGGGGAAGATGGACAGGGAGGCGGGGCACACAAACCCTGACTAGTTATTTCAGCTTTTCCAGCAAAACCAGCAAGTCGCACGCTGTCCGGGTGATGCCTGGGAACAAAACTCCAGAAAGATCGCGGGCAGGTGTGAGCTGCAGAAGCCGAAGCATTGAGACCACAGGTGGGGCTCAGACAGGCCTCCTGTGCCCCCATAGCCGGCCCCTCCCCGCAAGCACTTTGGACCCACAAGCCAAGAACATTCTTCACTGCTCCTTTCAAAGGTCTGGGGTGGGTGTCATTAGACACTGGAGAAATCCCAACTCTCCTTCTCATACAGGGGGAAACAGAGCGTGGGTGAGGAATCAGAGGAACAGGGAAAGCAGCATGAACGCCACACAGCAGAAAGAAACCGCCACACGAGCAGAACGGCGGGGGCCAGGTCCACGGTGTTCACCTGAACCCGCTCCTGCTCACCAGCTACACTAACGCTTCTATGCTTTTTTGTTTTTCAAAAGAGGCTCAGTTTGAAAAGTCACCCAAGGTACACTGCCGTGCCAGCAAGAGCCATCCTGCCCGAGAACACTTCCTCTGAGCGCACATCTGCCTCCCAAACGGGCATCTTCCTACTGCCTCCTAAGAGCTGATAACAATGCTACAAATGATTTAGGCTGGAGTCTAGAGATTTGGGACCTTTGGGTCACACATGTTTCACTCAATATGGGACCTCTGTCTCTGGGGTCAGCAGGATGGTTTTAAGGTGCATGCAAGTATTTATTCTTTGAATGGTTACGAGTTTATTTTAATCAGTGTTAGAAACCAAACCACCAGCGCGTCGGCCACTGTGCTCAGAGCTTCACTTGGGGGGGGGGGGGGCTCNTTCAAGGTGAGTGGCTCATGAGATGCTTTTGGTGCCAACCGGTCAGTGTGTGAGAATCATGGATGCCAATGACCCCCAGGCTTGGGGAGATGGATCTCTTTGACAAACTGGCCTGTGGACAGTGTCTCCTGGCAGTATCGACCCTGGGCAACCCTGTGAGGGTGAAGAACTCCCCACAGCCCCCAGCCTCAGGCTTCAGCAAAAGGTCTCCTTTCTTGAATGAGACACCATGTTACCCTGGATTCTGCAACATTTAATCAAAAAAGAATTTAGCATTTTTAAAAGTTCGGTTTATAAACTTGATGCATTCTTCGTATCAGCAGTTCATCTCTTTCTACACTGCCTAAGAAAATAAGGTCTGTGAAGACAGTAACAAGATAGTTAAGAGTTCATCAGAAGCTACAGCAGATAAGTATCCAGTTTAATTGTAACAAACCAGTGTCAGCAAATTTAACTAAGTATATAAAAACATTAGTTAAATACAAATCTCTGGAAATATACATTATACCTACAGGTTTGTTTTTTGTTTGTTTTGTTTTTTTACAGTGAGTCTTCCTTTTTCCCCCCGCTTTTAATTTTCAAACTGGTGAATCACTGCATGGTCCTGGATCTCCAAGCTATAAAACTGAAATATGTGTTTCCAGCATAGCAGATGGTAACCAGGAAGGCGAAGAACTGCAGAAAACAAAACACAATAGAAAGAGGGTTTAGGGTGCATCCTAACTAGCAAAAGTCATCACTTTACTTCCGTCGAATAATGTACTTACAGCACCCCTTGACTCCAAGTTTTCTCATCTAAAACTGCTTTATTGGTTCAATTACCTTCCTTCTGGAATGGATTTGGGCTGTTTTTCTTCCCTGGGACTATCTGGGAAGCCTGTAGTTTTATACCAATCCCCTGCCCTCCTCCAGGGGATCATCCCAACCCAGAGATCGAACCCGTGTCTCTTACATCTCCTGCCATGGCAGGAGGGTTCTTTACCACTAGCGCTGCCTGAGAAGCCTATATATATATATATAGATAGATAGATAGATATAGATATATATTCTTTCTCATATTATTTTCCATTATGGTTTATCACAGGGTATTGAATATAGTTCTCTGTGCTATGCAGTAGGACCTGGTTGTTTATCCATCCTATAGATAATAGTTTGCAACTGCCCAGCTGATTCTTGCTGTGTGTGTTAACTACAACAGACCGTGATTTTTAATCTCATGTGGACTCATGCTGTTTACCTTCAAATAGGGTAAAGCACCTGCTCCATCCTTACCTGGAGAATCCCATGAACAGAGGAGCCTGGTGGGCTACAGTCGATGGGGTCGCAAAGAGTCAGACATGAATGAAGCAACTTGTTATGCATGCATGCAGAGATTTTGAAATATAAGTTTAAAGCGCTGGCACAATAAACACCCATGTATCACCCATCAGCTTTAACACCATCCTGCTGGCCTTCCTGTAACTGCCCACTCCCCCTAACACTTCTGATGCTGGTGAAATGTATTAAGGCCAATCTCAGAGCAACTTGAAAAAATCGTTTTTTAAATTTGAAAAATACACATGATTCAAAAATGCCAACAGTACAGAAGTACATGAATTAAAAAGCAGAAGCCTCTTATCCCACACCCCTCATGGTCCATCACAGTCCCTGGAAGGAACCTCCGTTAGGGTTTATCCCTCCAGGCATCGTTGGGGCGTAAACAACAATTTCTACTTAAACAGAATCCTAGAGCGCTCCTCTTCTGTCCCTCCCCACAGCTGATGCTGTGGGCAGGAGAATTATTCTTAGAACGCCTCAAATGTTTTCTCTCCCACAAATACTTATTTTGTTCCAGAGTCTGGCTTTCACTCCAGCGCACTATTCCAGCCTCTTCACGCTCCAGGCCATCGGAGGCCCCATGATATGCAAAGCAGAAGTTCGTTGCCAAGGAGTCCCCCTGGAAGGTGACGCTTCCCCTACAGGTGTGCTGTCCTCAGTCGTTCAGTCGTATCTGACTCTTTGTGACTCCATGGACTGCAGCCCACAAGGCTCCTCTGTCCATGGGATTCTCCAGGCTGTAATACTGGGTTGCCATTATACTGGGGAGTGGGTTGCCATTCCCCTCTCCAGGAGATCTTCCCAACCCGGAGATCAAACCCGTGGCTCCCGCACCTCCTGCCCTGGCAGGCAGTTTCTTGACTGCTGAGCCACCTGGAAAGTCCTGCAGGCAACTCTGTCCTTTGCCCTCTGATCCGCAGCCGGCCTCGGGGAGGAGACCCCTGGGATGACAGGCTCACTCACCGACGAAGCCGCCCAGCTGTTGAAGTTGTGACTGTCTCTCTCCGGGGAGACGGAAGATGCGTCCACAATAGCGGCTGAGAGGTATAAGGCGAAGGCACTGCCGTTAAACCATAGACCCTGGGAAGCAGAGGTGCAGAGTGTTTAGGGTGCCTGGGAAGGTCTGGGCACCCCCAGACCCCAGAAGCAGCTAGAATCGCACTTGGTAAGGTGCTCATGTGGATGCAGGAAGAAGGCAGTGGACAAGGCTAATGAGAAAGTGGCTCCTCGGTACCTAACGGGTCCCTGGTGCATGCTACTTCCTCCACTCACACAGGCATGAGGGTTTGCAAAAGGGCTCCTCAATGAAAGCAGCAAATAAAATATCCCAACTAGAAGACAGACACACCTGATCTTTATTAGCATCCACTGGCAGTACATGAAATTTTCAAAATTTGGCTGCAAACATTTTCGAAATGGGGGAGCTGAAACAGAAACCCAGATTTCTGGATTCTCCAGGGAGGGAGAAAAAGCCAACAACAGAAGACCTAGTGATCCTGGAAACACAGCTTATTTCTAGTTGAAGAATATTCTGCAGGTGTTTAAGTCCGTGGGTCTGGGTGGCAAGGATTCCATACTCTTTGAGTTTACACTCACTCGTCTGACCTTCTGGTCTCCTCGCATGTGTGAGCATGCAGCTCCTGATGCAAAGGGGTCTCCTGGCTGCTGGCCAGGGTTCTAATTACTTCTCAGGCAGAGAAACACCCAGAGCAGGATGATGGCAGGAAAAAACTGCTGGGTGGAAGTCGAGAGACATGGGCCCAGCTGTGTGTGAATGTAAGCAAAGTCAGGAAGCTTCAAACCTCAGCTTCCTTATGGTAGAATGGGGACATGCCTCATGATGACAAATTCTGAAAATGCAAATCAGAGCATTTTAAAACCAGGGAGTTTCAGAAGGAAGCATCGTTAAACAAGTAAAGAAAAAAAAAAGTAACATTACAGGCAATGTTTTAAATTTTTAATGTAATAGATCAATGAAGGAATCTTAGGCTTGGCAGAGAGAAAGAGACTAACAGATGCTCTAGGCTGAAGGTCAGCAAGATAAAGAATCCTGACTAGCAGTCAGCAGAACGAGACTTGAAGTCCCTTCAGAAGCGTTTAATCCCTTTGTCGCATCGAGAAAGACCATCGCCTCCCTCTCAGGGCTGCTCACCCACGTGTGAAAAGGCCAGAGACACTCAGTCTACCAGTTCTTTTTTGTTTGTTTCTTACTTTTTTGCCTGTACCGCTCACAACATGTGGGGATCTTAGCTCCCCAGTCAGGGATCGAACCCGTGCCCCCTGCATTGGGAGCACTGAGTCTTAACCACTGGACCTCCAGACCTGCCAGTCGTTATGTAAAAAGTTTTGCTGGAGCAGAGTCATCCTCGTGCATTTGCTGGGTGTCTGAGGCGGCTCCCCCACGGTAAGCAGAGCTGAATGGCTGTGACGGAGAAAGTCTGCCAGCCTCTGGGCCAGAGCATCGGCTCGAAACCGAGACTTGGGCAGAGGCGGAAGGCAGGGTCCTGCCCATCCCGCATCTGGACCGCTGCCTCCCGTGTGACGTTTTCCAGGCTTATCTTCTTCCCAGCACTCAAGCACTTCCCTCAAGACCTAGTTCAAGACTCTTCTTCCTCCAAAACAGTTTTCCTTAAATTTCCCCAACTCACTGTGACTGCCCCTCACCTGGATCCCCTGTGCCATAACTTCGGGGTGCCGGCCTTCCGTGACTCCCTCATCCAGACGAGGCCGTCTTTCCTGCGCCTGCCTGGGAAGCAGGGGGCCAGTTCCAACAGGGCTGCCTCCACTGCCCTAGGCCTGTGTGGGACCACTACGGACTTAACTCTCAGAAACTGCACCCAGTTCCTGAAAGGTCTTTATGGGGAATCCTCACTTTTGTTTTGGGTAAACAGCAGGAGTCAGTCAAACTGCTTCCCCAAATACACACGTGGGCATCCCACTTGGTACATCCCCCCACGTTAGTATCCATCACAGACTGCTGGGATGGTTAATCTGGCATGTTAACTTATGCTGGTACACTATTCTGGGTGTGTATCAAGGTGTTTTTAGATAAGATCGATGTCTGAATCAGCAGACCGACCGGGTAAAGCAGATTGCCCTTCCCAGTATGGGTGGGCCTCACCTAGTCAGTAAAGGTCTGACTACAAAAAAAGGCTGGCCTTCCTGTGACTAAGAGGGAACTCCTGCCAGACTGCCTTGAGCTGGGACCACCAGTCTTTGTTTCTGCTTTTGGACTTCAACCGAAACTTCAGGTCCTCTTGGGTCTCACGCTTGCTAGCTTTTGGATTCGAACTTATGGCAGCAGCTCTCCTGGTTCTCAGGCCTATTAGCTCTCCGGGGCCTCCAGCTCGCCGTCTGCAGGTCTCGGGATGTCTCAGGCTCCACAAGCCCATGAGCCGATTCTTAGAGCAAATCTTTTTATATAGATAAACATTCTATTACTTCTGTTTCTCTAGAGAACCCTGATGAATACAGAATTTGGGGCAGAGAGTTGGGTACAGATTTTGGAACTACAATTAGAGTGTGGCTGTAACAAGAAAAACTAGACCAACCTAGACAGTGTGTTAAAAAGCAGAGACATTATTTTGCCAACAAAGGTCCATATAGTCAAAGCTATAGTCATATATGGATGTGAGAGCTGGACCATGATGAAGACTGAGTGCTGGAAAGCTGATGCTTTTGAACTGTGGTGTTGGAGAACACTCTTAAGAGTCCCTTGGAGAGCAAGTAGATCAAACCAGTCAATCCTACAGGAAATCAACCCTGAATACTCATTGGAAGGGCTGATGCTGAAACTGAAACTCCAAATACTTTGGCCACCTGATGCAAAGAACGTACTCACTGGGAAAGACCCTGATGCTGGCAAAGACTGAAGGCAGGAGGAGAAGGGGGCAGCAGAGGATGAGATGGTTGGACGGCATCGCTGACTCGATGGACATGAGTTTGAGCAAGCTCTGGGAGATGGTGAAGGACAGGGAAGCCTGGCGTGCTGCCCATGGGGTCACAAAAAGTTGGACACAACTTAGCAATTGAATAATAATCTCAGTAGAAGCCATGAATAAGTAAGGGATTATACCAGTAGAAACACTGCCAGTTTGAACAGAAGGGGATGGAAATAGACCAGAATGAAGGAGGGGTGCCGAGCGTTTTGGATTCTGCAGGACAGAACCACAGAACTATATGCCTGTGACATATCTTTATCTTTCACAAAAAGAAAGGCGATTCAGAGATTATCGGGGCTGGCACTCCTGTCACGGGCCCACTGCTCAGTTTCAAAGGGTGGGGCTACTTCTCTGGTTTCTGTGATCCGGCATGTCCCCACCCAGTGTCCCAGGGGGAGGTCACCCTGCAGAGGCACTGGGGTTACTGTGCTCTCCCGATGGATCCAGAAGATAGCGCACTGAACCAAAAAGGATTATTATGGAGGCTTAAGATCAGATGGAATTTGCCTTGTAACTTTCTGGGCTTGCTGGAGACCTGTCACCCCTTCCTTCTTTCCTATTTCTCCCTTTTGAAATGGGAGTGTCTGTCCTGCCACTGTATTTTGGAAGCACTCAACTTGCCTGGTTTCACAGGTTCTTAGCTGGAGAGGAATTTTGCCTCATTGTGAACTGTACCTCAAGTCTCACCCATAATCTGACACAGATAATATTTAAAGGAGACTTCGGTTTGGGGGAGGTTTTTGTTTGTTTTTTAAGCAGGATTAACACCTGTCTGATTTATCTTTATTTTTTGTTTTATTTATTTTTACGTGTGGCATGAGGGATCTTAATTCCCTGATCAGGGTATCTAACTCATGTCCCCTGCACTGGTAGTATAAAGTCTTAACCACTGGAGCACCAGGGAAGTCCCTTAAAGGAGACTTTGGACCTAGATTTTAGTTGATGCTGGATTGAGTTTGAGGGACGTTGACATGAAATGAATGCACTTTGTATGTGAGATGGGTGTGATATGGGTGGGCAGAATATTATGCCCACCCAATTTTTTTTTCCCCCAAATCATATGCTGAAGCCCTAACCCTCAATGCAATAGTATTTGGTTAAGGGGCCTTTGAGGTATTTACGGCCAGAGGAGGTCATGAGGGTGAGGTCCACCTGAGAGGGTTAGCGCCCTTCTAAGAAATGAAAGGGAGTTCACATCCTCTCTTCTCTTTCTGCCATGTGACGACACAGCAAGACTGGCAGGCATCTGCAAGCCAGGAAGACAGTTCTCACCAGAAACTAACTCTACTGACACCTGATCCTAGATGTCTAGCCTAGGCGGCACGAACTTTCTGTCACTGAAGGTCTAGGGTATTGTTCTGGCGTCCAAGCAGACTAAGGTTCTGTAATCTATACGTTTTCTTAGCCATCCATGGCCCACATCTCCGGACTCTGTTTCCCTTTGTTATCCTGCATCCCGCATGGAGTCAGGACCACAGTCCAGTCACTTTGACTACTCCTGCTCCCAAATATGAGCACACCTAGTTGTTCTAACAGTGCTTTTCATTTTTCATTCTAACTCTTTGCATCTCAATATCAAAGAACTCTGCTGCCCAAAGAGTTAAAGCCACGACATCAGAAGGGGCTGGAAGGATGAAAGATCTACTGCGGCTGTGCCCTGACACAGCTGTATCCAGCTGTCACTGTTGACTGAGAATTAACAAAACAAGAGGTTACACAAGAAAACAGAGCTTCTCTTGGTTCAGTCTTCTGAGGATTGCTTTGCTACTTTGCCTAAAAGGAATTCCTGGACCTTCCCACACGATGCTCCACACTCAGGTGTAAAACACCAGTGCGGGGCTCTCCCTGGCTTTGCCCTCTGCTTTACTGGCATAGGGACAATCGCAAATTGACTGGAGGACTAACCTTAGGGGCAACGGGCAGGAAGAACACTCATGGTTGGCTTACCACCGTGGTCCAGGGCACCTGGGGGATCCTGGTGTAGGTCATCGTTAGGTAGATGATGAGGAAGAAGACGGTGAGGACCCAGTAAAACACAGCTACGAACATGACCCAGCCAAAGGCAGGGACCCGGAAGTACTCAGTTCCAGCGATGAGCGTCCATACCAGCAGTCCCAGAACCTGTCAAACAGGAGAGGCAGTGGGAAGGAAAAGGGAGATGGAAGAGAAAATAAAGGAGGAGGAGGAAGTGGAGACAGAGAAAAAAAACAATCAGGCAAAGTGTCAACTACAAGTTTCATGCATACATATGGATACATGTAACAAATGTGACTGGGGGCAAACTCACATTCCCCGGAATACCAGAAAGGGAAAATGAATGAACAGGGCAGGCTGGGCAGAGACCAGGGCAAGCAGGAAGCCCATGTCTCGTCTCTGCCCAGCTCCGGCCAGTTGCTGTGGGCTGGTTCTCTCGCTCTTTCTCCCCGCCTGCCCCCCGGAAAACACAGAAACTCAAGTTTGTATGTGCTGATAATCTTGATTTTTAAATGCCAACCCTGGAATTCCTTGGCAGTTCAGTGGTTAGGACTCAGCACTCTCACTGTGAGGGCCTGGGCTCAATCCTTGGTCAGGGAACTAAGAGCCCGCAAGTCTCATGGTGCGGCATGCATGTATGCATAAATGAATGAGTGAATGAATTAATCAACAAATGTTAGCGCTAATAAAGAGGGACAAAACAACACACATCTGTGGCTGGAATCTGTTCCCGACACCCATCAAGGGAACAAGAAACAAGCTGTAGGTTTATTCCAACAGTCTCCTGACTTCACCGCTGCTGCTGGGTAGGATCAGCCCGAAGCCCTGTCATGTCAGCACTGAGTGAAGGAAGGATGCTGTGGGGATTTCTGGTTCTCAAGGAGGGAGGCCACAATGAAGAGTCCGTCTCCCACCCAGCACCTTCCAGGGCCCAGGAGGACTGCATTCCTGAGTCACAGGCAAGTTGGCATCTAAACCCTATCCCCAGGAGACAGCATCAGGTGTCTGGGACAGGCGCTGGCTGCTATGACTCGGATCAAGCAGTTTCCTTCCTGTCTCAGCTCTCTCCATGGGATGTGGCACAAAATGGACTCTGATCACTCTGGTCATTCGGCCTTGACACCCGAGCACCTACCACGGGCCAGGCTTCCTGCTCATGGGCCCCGAGGACGGAGCCAGGCAGAAACCAAGCAGATCTGCTCATGCACCACTTAAGAGTCTCGTGAGGGGAGATACACGAACAGTCACAATTGTGAACATGCTATGAAGGAAATGAAGGGTGTGACCAGAGTCTCTAACAGGGGGCCATGAGCTCACGGGCAGAAAAGGCAAGTATCAGAGGGGGCCATGCTGAGGAAGAGTCTGAAGACCCATTAAGAGTATGAAGACGGCTAGGCGGATGCCGTCCCAGGCAGAGGGCATGATGTGAGCAGAGAGCTGCAGGGGAAGGGCCTTCTAGAACCTGTAGGAAAGTGGAGAATGTTAGGACATGGGTACAAGATTTTAGAAGGCTTGGCGACAGTCAGATTCTGTGTGCTGGGACACCTAAGGACTTTGGACTTTATTCTAAGGGCTAAGAGAGGGTTTTGAGCAAGACAATGATATGAAGAGGTTAAGTTTTTGTTAAGATCACTTTGGCTGCATGGCAAGAACAGGTAGACAGGTGGCTGGGTTGTGGGGTGGAGAGACAAATTCAGAGACTGTTGTAATAATCCAAGTGGAAGAAGATGACAATGTGTTTAAGACTAAGATGCTGGTGAGTACTGGGAAGTGAATGATTGAAGGCAAATTTCAGAAGGAGTCAGGACCTTCACGGATTTGATGGATTAGATTATGATAAAGTGGAATTACACCCGGGTCTCTGGAAAAACTCCCCAGTGGATTAGGGTGTTACCTCCTCAGCTGAAAAGATGAAATAAAGGAACAGGTTAACAGGGCTGATCTGGGCTCAGGTTACAACCTTGCCCATTGGAGCGAGCCTGGGACCTTGGGATGGGATGAGAAGTGGATGGTCCAGGGGAAGAGTTCAGGCCCTGCTTTAGGAAGGAAGACTTCCTGGGAGCATCACTGAGTGGGCATCACTAAGACAGGTTTCCAGGGGACCTTTGAAAGTGCTCATGGAGACAAGCCCACCTCCCTGTCAAAGTCTGGATGTCTGCACTGGGGAGCAGAGAGCAGACTCTGAACACTGCTACTTTCCCTCCTTGGAGCTGAAAGCCGAGGTTCTTCTATCTGCCTAATGTCCTATGTGAATCCAAAGAAGTGTTTATGTACTTTGGGGCTCACACTGTGGCAAAGGAATTTATTGAAAGCAAAGAAGTATCAAACAGGATAAAATTCCAGACAATGTCAAGACTCTCACCCCTGGGGTTATGATCCAGAATTCATCATAACTGACAGGTAACCTACACACACAGATGTGACATTCCATTGTATCAATAGGACAGGTAACACATGTCATCTGGCATGGCAGGATCTGAAATAACATCAAGGGCTTCTTGATTCAAACTGAAGGGGTGGGAAGGGTCCTTTGTTGAGGATTCACCCAGGAAATAACCATGGGAGGAGCCACTGCTAATGGGGCTGGTATCTCTCCAGGAGCGTGCAAAGGTTTGAGAGTTGCCAGGATAAGCTCATATCCAGCTACATGGGCTTAACTAAAAGCTCTTGACTCTAAATATGAAAATGCTTTTCATTACTAAAAGCAAGTGGAGTCCACTGTCCAGAGATGCTCTAACATGCTAGCAGTGGTCATCTTTTACAGACAAGGATGGTATCTCTAACTGAGCTATCAAAGAGTAGGAATATTTGACCCAATATCTCATCAGCAAACACAAGAAAAGAACTGTCAAGAAAAGACAGTTTTCTTGAAAATTGTCTTCAAGAAAATTCCTACCCAAGTGAATTTCTTGGGCAACTGAAATACACCCGGAAGCAACTTTTGTCTCTCACTATAACCAACGCTGATGAAAACCACTCTACAAAACACACACTCATCTCCTGTTGTGTGTGTGTGTGTGTGTGTGTGTGTATTTAAGACAAACTCTACATCTTTATTTGCTTAGACTTCAAAAATTCTGTTTGTTTTTCACTGACAAGCATTATTTTAGGCTAACACTTTTTTTGGAATGGTAAATCTGAGACCTAAAAAAAACTTTTGAAAGTGATAAACGCAGGCAAAAATAAACATGGCAGTAGACAAAGCATATATAAAGCATACAAAGAAGTTATAACCCTCAGCTACCAGTTGTAAATTCTCAAGAGAAACCAACATAAAAATTTTATGTCTACCCTTCTTAACTTCTTTCGCTTGCATTTATCACTATCATTACCACCTGCCAATTCTTTTCTCTTTCCTTTGAAAATATGGGCCACTCGGTACAGGGTGCCTATAACTTCTGTCTTTCGGTCAGCCGTACCAAGGAGGCCCTTCGTCCAGATCTATTTCGATTCTAACAGCTGCCCAGTTTTCCATAATTCATGGGATCTGTTCCCTATGGAGAAAAATTTAACTTGTCACCTTTATGCTTCTACAAAACACGTCCAGGGAACAGTCTTATAGAATGTATGCTGCTGCTGCTGCCGCCGCTAAGTCACTTCAGCCGTGTCTGACTCTGTGCGACCCCATAGACAGCAGCCTACCAAGGCTCCCCATCCCTGGGATTCTCCAGGCAAGAACACTGGGGTGGGTTGCTATTTCCTTCTCCAATGCGTGAAAGTGAAAAGTGAAAGTGAAGTTGCTTAGTCGTGTCTGACTCTTAGCAACCCCATGGACTGCAGCCTACCAGGCTCCTCCGTCCATGGGATTTTCCAGGCAAGAGTACTGGAGTGTGGTGCCATTGCCTTCTCCGACAGAATGTATACACCCCTGCAAACCCGAATTCCCAAATAACAGTCTTAGAAATGCAATTTCTAGGCTATTTTAAGCTTCAGAGGTACTGTCAAATTAGCCATCAAAAATCTTGTGCTAACTCATCTTCTCATCAGAGCATGCCTGCTCTTCCTTTCCAACCTCATTAAATGCCCAGGTCGTAAATGATTAAAAACCTGATTTTAAAAAAGAGAGAATGAGATCTCACTTTGCCTTTCACTGCTTGGCTGAAGTACAGCACAGAGAAAAGTGCATAAATCCTAAGCGAACAGCTCAGGGGATTTTCACAAACTGGACTAACCTCCGTCACCAGCACCCATCTCAAGAAACAGAGCACCTGGGGGCTCCATCCTCACTCCTAGTTAACTTCTTCCTTCCTCCGATGGGCGCAAGGCCCCTGGCTTCTATCATCCGTGGTCTGGGACTTCAAAGACACGGAATCTTATCGTCCACGCTCCCATGTTTGGTTTCTCTCACTCAGCAACTCAGAGTTTCATCCACGACACTGACCACTGTGTTTTCACAACACCAGTTCTCAAACATCAGCGAATCGCCTGAAAGGGTCCGTAACCCTCAGGTGAAGAGGCTCCATGCCAGGGTTTGTGATCAGGAGCAGATCTAGGAAGGGACCTGAGGATCTGTGTTTCCAACAAATTCCCAGACGGTGCTGTTGGTCCAGGGACCGCATGCTAAGAACCACTGATGTACAGTATTCTTATTTTAGTCTGCATTTTCCTGATCAGTTGTGAGGATGGAAGAACATCAAAGGCTTATTAGCCACTTCCAGTTCTGATTTACGGATATTTTTTACAAAATCATGTCCTTACTGATCTGTAGAAATCTTTACATAACAGGAATGGTAACCACCAACACTTGCGGCAATCTTTTCCCATCCAATTTTTTTCTTAAACTTCAGTTTTCAGTCACATGGGAGTTTAAAATTTTTACACAATTAATAGGTCACTCTTTGAGCCTTCTTTTATTCCTATGTGCTTAGGAAGGGCTTCCTTAGCACCAATATTAAAAAATATTCTCTGATATTTTCTGAGAGCTTTGTGTGTTTGCTTAATCTTCAAACAAACTAGAACTGAGTTCTACAGATGGGGTGAAGAAGGTCCAATTTTATTTCTTTCTCGCAAATGGTCAGGTGATCTGTTATCACACACTGGTGACGTCTCACATACTGGGTCAGTGTCTGAAATCTTTATTCTGTTCCACGCATCTGTACTGACTGCTGTGAGCTGTGCTCAGGTGCTCAGTCGTGTCCAACTCTTTG